TCCCTCCAGGGCTTTATCCCATGGCACACCACCAGGGAGGTTCCTGAAGAGGCAGAAGTCAGCTCTTCTGAAATCAAGGGTTTCAAGCTTGCTGAGTTTCCCCCTCTTAGCTGCCCTTAGGATCTCAAACTCCAGCATCTCATGGTCACTGCAGCCAAGGCTACCCACAAGTTTAACATTACCCACCAGCCCTTCCCTACTGACGAGAACGAGGTCTAGCATGGCACCTCTCCTTGTTGGTTCCTCTAACACTTGGAGAAGGAAGTTACCGTCAATGCATTCCAAGAATCTCCTGGATTGCTTGTTCCCTGCTGTGTTGTTCTTCCAACTGATGTCGGAGTGATTAAAATCCCCCATGAGGACCAGGGCTTGTGAACAAGCAGCAACTCCTATCCGCTTATGAAGGGCCCCGTCCACTTGGTCCTCCTGATTGCGTGGTGTGAAGCACATCCCCACTGTAAAGTCTCCTACCCTTCCTTTCATCATCTTGTTCCACTCCCCTTGCCATGGGCACGGACACCTAGCACTAGACCAGTTTGCTCAAAGTCCTATCCAGCCTGGCCTTGCACACTTCCACAGTGGGTGCATCCACAAGCTCTCTGGACAATCTGTTCCAGAGTCTCATTATCTTCACAGAAGAGGATTTATTTCTAATATCCAGTCTAAATCTCCTCTCTTTAACTTTGACCATTACCATTACCTCTCATCCTATCACTACATTCCCTGATAAAAAGTCCCTCTCCAGCTTTCCTTTAGGCACCATTTAAGTACTGGAAGGTTGTTATAAGGTCTCTCCAGAGCCTTCAAATCTCCGGGCTGAGCAGCCACAGCTTTCTCATCTGACCTCACAGGGGCAGGTGCTCCAGCCCCCTGATCATCTTTGTGGCCCTCCTCTGGACCCATCTGAGCAGGTCCATGTCTTTCTTAAGCTGGACCCCAGAGCTGAACACAGTACACAGGTGAGAGTAGCATTCTTCTAGAGGAGACAGCAAACATTTTGGGCCAAACATATTAAATCCAAAAAATAATTACTGGCTATGCATGCAATAATTGATATTACTCATATTTAAGAGTATTCTGGAAAATAAAGAAATCACAATATTGCATAGTATTTGGGGACATCTTGTCATGTGACATTAAGAATCTTGGATCTGCATATGTTTTGGGATAAGAAAGGGGCACAATATTTTGCTTTCTTCTCGGATTATGTATCATCACACATAGAAATCTAGAAGCTTTCAAATAAAAGCAAATGAGAGTTTCACAGACTTCCTCCACACTGTGCAAAGCTCTCCAGTAGCTGAAACTTCTGTTAGAGAACTTTGAATAAAATTTTGATAGATGGAGATAATACAGGATGGGTAGAATTGTGCTAGTTGAAGTGTCTTCTGATTCATTTCCTGACCTGTCAGGGTTATTTAAGATGACTACTACTGATAGGGTGGTGTACCTTGAAAGTCTTAAGAAGATCTGTCTAAACTTACCATCACACTCTGCTATTTTTTTCTCAGTGATCCTTTTGCAAGTTCTTGAGCCTACAGCAGAGATAATCCATCCACTTCTTTTGAGTCATAACCCAAACAAATAATGTCATTACATGAAGGGAATAATGACAAGTGGTTTTAAAATGCAGTCCAGTTTAGGATTTCTGGACATAGCCTTGTCTTACAGGGGCATTGTGAGAGTTAACCAGTATCACAGTTACAGAAAGCTACTTGCTAGAGATACTGTAGAAGTACTCGCTACTGATAATCTTTGAGCCTGGTGAAAGAGAGAGAGCACTTTACAGAATCACAGAATGTCATTTCCTGTTTCATGCTCATACTAAATTCTTTCAATCATCTGCAAGTTTCACACCTCAGAAGAAGTTGTATATAAAGCATCAGGTTTAGCCAGGTCACTAATAAGCCGCTGCATTTAAGGTATTTCCTGCAGCACATGGTACAAACACCTTGCTCTATGGATAATATGAAAGAATTTGAGCCTTTAAACTCATCATTCTTCTCCTTTTATAATCACCATGATCCACATAGAGAAAGCATGTGGTGCCCACGGTACCTCTCTCTTCTTGGCTGAGACAATGAGCTCCAGGAAGGACTGATCTTCAGCCCAGGAGTCAATCTCTGTGAGATCATAGAGCACAGTGGTCAAGGGGCCAAAGGACAAGAGATTGTGCTTCCGCTTCTGCATAAGGTATTGAAACATCTGAGGAGAAAAGAAAGGGGATGAGGAAATCAGCAGCTTTCCAGTATATAGTGTATTTGCATTGAGAACAATAAAATCGTTTAAAACCTTTAATTACAATTTATTTTCCTTGAACTTGGAGGTTGTTGCAGTTCTCATATCCCTCAGTAAAAAATATAGCAGATTAACAAGCATAGCCTTTTCTAATTCCCATTTGATTATTAGCTTATACTTCAGGTAAAGGATGAGTGATTTTTACTCTAAATTCTAATCAGACTGCTGAAGTTATTTCACACAGTTACACATCTTGGCAGTAGATTTCATATGGAATTATATGTTGATTAGAAAAAATCATCCCTCTATACTCTTCTACAAGTTATCAGAAAACATTAGCAAGGGAAACGATCCTATTCTTTGTGGGTCTACAGAAGAAACAATTACCACCTTTGTCTTTTTGTTAAGGGGAAAGATGAGAGTTTACATTAAATATTGGTATCTTGTTTATGAATAAAAGTCTGTGGACACCTGAAGAAGTTTCCTATGTGTCACATTTAGGGTAGTGAAATCTAAGACAACAAAGACAACAATTTCAGTCAGACTTTCAGAAAATTACTTGTGGTGAATCCTTGGGTGGACTAAGTGGTTAATACCAATTTAATTCAAATGTTTCAAAAACTGGATCAAAAAATCTACTCTTTAAGCACTCTTTTCTTCCATTAGGATAAAGACATTTCTTATAAAGGATTTTCTGGTCCTACATGAGACTTTTGATTATATAAAAAAAAAAGAAAAAGAACTTGTTATGCAGCTTCTACATGCTAAGAACATGCACAAACTCCCTTGGCCTGCATGATGTTATTACAAGTTTTCAATTTCTCTTTTGTGTGGAGGCAAGTGTGTCACAAAAGCTCACCACAGTGTTGCCTTCAACTCCAGCCAGTTTGAATGGAGTAAGTCCCTCATTGTTAGGAATCAATTCAAGTGATCCCGGTCCCTCCTTGTTCCTGTCATAGGAAAGTATCAAGCTGTACATGTGGCAGGCAAACATCTTATTAGGTTGGAGAACCAGGATGTGAAGCACAGTATTACCTATGAAGGAAGCAGACCAGATAAAGTATGTGGAATAGCTCAGCCCTATGCAAAGACTGCCAATTGAACGATAACTTTCATTTTCCTCACATCACTCATCCCACAGCTCTTTGTAATGAGAGACAAATATGTACATGCACAGATGACATAGTCTGAATTAAATTGTCCGGATCCACTTTATGCAATTCACTAGGCCCCACAGCACATACCCAGATAATCTTGGGCTCTAATGTCAGCTCCATTGTCAATGAGCAACTGTACAATTTCCTCATTTCCCACACAAGCAGCAAATGATAGAACATGCTCTCCTGCAAAGATAGGAATGGGAAGAAACAAAATTAAGACCCTGGGAGGTAGGAGAGGTTTAAGATGCTAAGGGAAAGCTATCCATGTTAGGAAGCCAGAGGATATGAAAGAAAGAGTTATTTCAGGTAACCTGTAAATTTCCTGCTCCAGCCCTCATCCTACACATAAAGGATAAAAAGACCTGCCCTGCACAACACTAAAAGGAAAAAGTATTCTTTTTAGGAGATTATCTTCATAAGAGGGTAAGGTGCAGTATATGATGCTAGGAAGAAACTAAATTACAATTTTTATGCAATGTATATATTTTTGTATACATACAAATATATAAAATGTGCATGATTTTTATATTTATATTTATCTAGTATTTACATACTCAGAGGGAATCTTACTGTCTGCTAAAAGATGTGGGTATAATTACACATGGAGGCAAGACAGGGACTAAAGCAAGCCTCCCTTATATTCCCTCATCACTCTGCTGGTTCCCTCGCATAGTAGCAAAAGCAGAAAATAAGGCTGTACCAAAATAGAGAAGGTTTTGGGAGCTGCGCCTGAAGAATTGCCCAGTGGCCTTTGCTGTGCAGGCATTGGCCCCTCTCTTGAGTAAAGCCTTCACCAAAGTGATGTTCTGGTTCACTGCTGCAATGTGGAGAGCTGTCTGCCCTGTAAGAAACAGAAATAAAACCTTGCTTTCCAAGAAAGCATCTTCAGGCTGATCAGTGGTCTGCAGTTCACATCGTGGCTATACGATTTAGTTTCGAAGTTATCATTCTTGTTGTGAAGAGGTTTGGACTATAGATTTTCCTGGGGTCCCATTCTACCTAAATCTTTTCATGAATTCAGGAAAAATGCCTTTACAATCTGGCAAAAAAAAAAAACAAATCCAAAAAAAAACAACCCACAAAACAACAGGATGCACTTCTGAGATTTTTTTCTGGGGGAAAACAAGACTGCTGTGCTATTCCAGGAAGCACACAGAAAGCTGTGAGACTGACTATGCTTTCCTTCACGGGACATGAAGACCAGGCCAAGAAAAAGCTCTCAAAGAAGACTTGCTCTAAACCTTCAAACTAGGTATTAGAATTTTTTAAATCTCATCATTATTTTCATGGTTTCAACATTCTGTCTGGCATTTCTATGTAGTCAGTCAGAACCATTCTTCAAAAACCTGGCTCAGAGTTTAGACTTAAAAGCAGTGGCCACATTTATTTTCAATACCTATTCTTAATCAACCAGAGAACTATATTTTTCTCTTTTCAAAGGATATCAGGGAGATATCCCCTTTATTATACTAGACTATGCCAGAAAGCAAACTTTATATATCCTTGCAATCCCACTATAGTCAACAGGCCCACCTGTGGTTAAGTTTGTCAAACAGATATTTGTGTGTTTGCACATGTGTGTACTTGGCTTTAAATTAATTCCACTTTCCACATATGGTCAGGAGCTATTTCTATGTAGGTTTTGCTATGTAAGAGTTTAGCAATATATTGAACCAGGAACAGTATCAGCCACTTTTCTAAATGTCCAGGTCTAAATGTACTCCCTCTCTTCCCCTGCAGAGAATCCTGACCATCCTCATTCCCTAAGACGTTACCTTCATAGAGCTCTGATGTCATCCTTTCATTGACAAGCTCAGGAGCTGCTTCCATCAGTGTCACTGCTGCCTCCATGTTGTCATACAAGGCAGCTACATGAAGGGCAGTCTCCCCCACTGCACCTAGAAACAGTAGGAGAAGCATGTGTGTCTTCTAGACATTCAATTATATGGGACAAATATGTGCCTCCTCGGATGACCTGACATGGTAACAGCCACATAACTGCATAGTCCCTGACCTTCACTCCATCAAGATCTGAAAGGTGAACAGACTTCAAGTGTTTGCATGTGACAACATACTCAGGCACGACGTGAATGCACACACAGCCCTTCCACTGACCATCTTCCCCAGTAAACCATCTCCCTCCGTCCCTCTAGAAAAAAGGCCTGTTCAAGCTGTAAACCTCTGATTTTCAGCATTCTTTTAGGGTTTAATGAGCTCTTCAAGCTAGAAGACTCACTCCCTTGCAAAGCTGCTGACACAGAGTAAGAGAGTTTGTCTGCTAATGCAGACTTAATGTTTTAGCAAACTAAAAAACATACTCCTCTACTCATTGTAGCAGGCTCTTGTGTTCCACAGAAAACCATTTGTTGGAAATAATCTAGTTACCTCTCTGATAGATATCACATGTTCCATCAGTGACAAGTTTCCTAATGACTGGGAGGTTGTTCTCTTTGGCAGCCTGGAGGAGTGGAGATTCCCAGATCCTGTAGTCAAGAAAAAGTAACTGATAAGAAATGTGTTGAGACACATGAAATCCTTTCTCCAGAGCTAGCATGGCCTTTGCTTGAGACAATATGTATCTTCAACATTTTCACTGAAAGATCGGTAATGCACACCAAACATGCAAGGTATTTTTTTTAAACGCAAAAAAAAGGAGTGGTAGAAGTAGACAAGCTCATCATCTGCCGATTTACTGACGCTTAACCATACGGTGGCAGCAGAGGGAAAGATAGAAGAAACGAATAACCAGATTCTGTTTTATATAGCTACATCTTGAAGGACAGAAGATAGCACACTATGGGTCCTTTGATAGCCCTCCTGCCAGTAGACTAGTTATCTCAGGAACCAGAAAAAGGTAGCAGCTTGTTTTACACAGCACAATAAATTTAAAAGGTGAGCATCTGAATTATTTCCATGATAGATGGAAAAGAAAAAGTACAAACAAGAATTTTCCCTGCACTGTGGCAACACTTCCTACGGTATAATTACAAGAATGAGTTCTGAAATGTAGTTCTTCATCATATAAATCTATGAGGAAAAATTTAAAAGCTTATCTATACTACTTTTTTCTCTGATGCTGGGAAGGTTGCGGAAATTGTTGGGAATTGAAAGGATGCCTGTCCTGGGAAAGCACATGCCATCAGACGAATTCCAGATTGAATGGTTCACTTAACAGTTGAAGAATGTCCTTGAGTCTCCCATGAGGCTCTGGATTATTTCAGTAGATCCCCTAGGGCTGATGAAGAATTTAGAAGTACAATCAACAAACCTACAAACAGCAGGTCAAAGAAGGTGGTCCTCCACTCTGCTCAACTCTGGTAAGATCATACCTGTAGTCCTGTGTCCATTTCTAGGATCCTCAGTTCAAAATACATACACAACTGCTGTAGAAAGTTCAGCAAAGGGCCACAAAGAGGATTATGGGACTAAAGCATCTGTTATATGAGAACGGCTTGAGAGAACTGGGACTGTTTAGCCCAGAGAAGAGAAGGGTTGGGCAAGGTTCTTATCACTATGTATAAGTACCTAAACAGAGGCTGCAAAGAGGTACTTGCAATGCCTGCTTGCTCAGCATCCAAATAAGCTTTGCCAATGTTAAAAATAAGAAGTTGGCTGTCCAAAAATCACAAAAATTGGAACAAAATCTACTAATTTAGGGTAGATATTTCTGTTATCCTCTATTCCAGATTTATCTTTCAATTACTAAAAAGTGTTTGGAGGTGGATTTTTTAAAAAAATTTTGTTTAACACAATGAAAGAACTCTTCTGGAACTAAAGATTTAAGAGGAAGAAAGAGCCTCAAACCCAAAGAAACTCCCTACATCTCAGGAACTTTCAGTATGAAATAGAAGGATTCCTCTCTCCACATCGGATAAGTTCAAAGTTAGATCTCTGTTCAGATACAAATTCTATGCTTTTATCTCACCTGTGCTTTCTTGTAGCTAAGAGGTTTAATTTGTTCTTAATTATCTGTCATGGCTCAGGTCAAGCTCTAGTGTGAGATGTGGAATAAGTCTAAGGAACACAGTGGAACAATGACAAATTCAAGCTGATAAGAACAAGGAGAACATTAGCCCTCATTTTCCTATCAGCCCCAGTCTGTCCCTTTACTATAATTTAACATCCACTAAGGACTAGATGTTACTCTCAAACACACACACACACACAAAAAGCATGTGGGACAAATACATTAGCCAAACCATGTACCTGGGAATATATTAAATGCTTTCTCCTTGTGTTGTCCCAGATTTCTTCCTTGTAGTATGGAATCACAGAATCACAGAATGTGGGAAGTTGGAAGGGTCCAGAGGTCCATCTATTCCAATCCACCTTGCCAGAGCAGGTACATCTAGAGCAGGTTGCACAGGATGGCATCCAGGGGGGTTTTGAGTGTCTCCAAAGACAGAGTCCATCACCTCTCTGGGCCGCATCCTCCTGACATTCACCCTTTAAGTATTTATGAGCATTGATAAGATCCCCCCTCAGTCTTCTCTTCTCCAAACTAAAAATACCCAAGTCCCTCAGCCTTTTCTTCATAAGAGAGATGCTCTAGTCCTCCAATCATCTTCATAATCCCTTTTCTCCAGCAGTTCCCTGTCCTTCTTGAACCAGAGAGCCCAGAACTGGACAGAGAACTCCACATGCAGCTTCACCAGGACAGAGGGGGAGAATAACCTCCCTCAACTGGCTTGCCACACTCTTCTTGATGCACCCCAGGACATAATTGGCCTTCTTGGACACAAGGGCACATTGCTGACTTATGATCATCCTATTGTCCACCAGGACACCCACATCTTTCCACAAAGCTGCTTTCCAGCAGTTTGGCCCCCAATCTATACTCACACATGGGTTTATTCGTCCCTAGGTGCAGCACCTTACACTTGCCTTTGTTGGATGTCGTAAGGTTACTCCCTGTCCAACTCTCCAGCTTGTCTAGGGCATGCTGGATGGCATCACACCTTCAAGTTTTGCATAATCAGGAAACTTTCTGAGGGTACACTCTATCCCTTCATCCAGGTCATTGACAAATATATTGAAAAGGATCAGAACCTGTACTGACACCTGGGGAACACCACTTGTTACAGACCTCCAACCAGACTCCACACCACTACCGTGGTATTGTTTAGTTACAAGATTTTGGGGATACAGTTTATAGCACAAATACTATGTAAAGCAATAGGTGTTTTGCATTAAGTGATAACACTTAATGTGATGCTAGAATACATTATCTACAAATATAACTCTTATGCAATCACAAGAAAACTCGTATCAGAGAAAGAAAGAGAGAGAGAAAGACTATAAATGGCCCATTGCACAAAATGTTTTCTTAGAACTTGTGCTTATTAGGTCTAGGATAATTTAACAATAAAAACGTAGGGAATCATAGAATCACAGAATGTCAGGGGTTGGAAGGGACCTCTAGAGATCATCTAGTCCAGCCCCCCTGCCAGAGCAGGATCCCCTAGGGCAGCCACACAGGAACGCATCCAGGAGGGTTTTGAAAGTCTCCAGAGAAGGAGACTCCACAACCTCTCTGGGCAGCCTGTGCCAGTGCTCTGTCACCCTCACAGTAAAGAAGTTTCTCCTCATGTTGAGGTGGAACTTCCTGTATTCTAATGCAAACAGGCAACCTTAATTCTGTGGCTTACAGAAATACGCATTTCTTGCTTTAAATTATTCTTCTATGAACAACAGAATCTTGAAGAAAAAAAATTTTTATATGCATTATCTCTGGCTTTAATCTACCTGAAACGTGCAAGTTCTGCACAACTTTATAGCAGAAAGATACTGGCACACTTGATGGAACTTGGGGGATATAGCAAAACAAAGAGAAGTATCAGAATTACAGATAAACAGGAATCATTTGAGTAAGTGTAAATTAACTGGCATGGGCTACAAGTAATGAAAGCACAATGAAACATGATACTTATCATTCCATAAAAGGAATAATTCCTGTCACCAACAGAACCCCATTATCTAAGTCACTATGAACTAGACTGTGAACAACTAAACGTTGAAGAACAGGAGAAATAAAAACATTCAGAATATAAAGAATCATTCTGAACAAACCAGGGAGCTGTTCTGAGATATTTTTATGTGTCCTTCAAACTCTTATGCTTGTTGCTTTAAGAAATATTCCTTACTCCTGCATCAGTTGTGTTAGCTGCTAATTACAAGATGATTTGATGAGAACATTGCATTTAGGATCAGACAAATAGGAATAAAATAAAGAGGCACTCTGAGCAAAAGTTGTAAGGTTCAAGATCAGTGAAGCAAGCTTGCCACCTCTGCTATAATTTTGGCTGAGAAGGACTCGCTGTTCCTGCAGAATACAACTATCAGAGGCAGGAAGTGGGAATGAGGTGGGGTTTCAATAGTATAAACAATGCTGCAATTAATATGTTGATGCTTTACTGAGTAGGCCTTTATCCCTCAAATGACCTCAGAGAGGAGGAAGGGTTGAGCAAGAGACAATGTGGGAGGACACAAACACAATACCTTTCACACAAAATTCTCCAAGGCCCTTGAAAACAACTGATTAAATTACAAGCCTGCCAAGAGGAAGACACCTAATAAGTGCTATACTCAGCTTTCAGAAATTTAGGGCAAAATTTTCAAAGCTTTCTACTTATTGTAGGAACCTCCAACTGGACTTAAAGAACTAGAGATCAAAAGCCAAACGGCAAGCTGGTGAAGAACCCAGAAGCATTGGTAAACGTCATGGCCCAATGCCTCTGATGTCTCAAAGGGCCATGACTTATATGTTTATACCATATGCTATTAATCTTATTTAATTTTCTGTACCATAATTGGGGAAACATTTTACTCTCATTTAAAACTCACCGCTATAATTATCAATTCATTTTTAATATATTACATCAATGTGCTGATCATGTAAATATCAAGTACTAGATGAGCTAAATTCACCAATATAAAAAATGTCACCTGAATCTAGAACCTGCAAAACAGTTTATCTTTTTTTAATTCTGCATATTTAACAAACAGGGCATGGATTTTGCATTTTACAGCTCTAGTTCTTGCGTGTCAAAGCAGCAGCAGGTAAAATGTATAACTTACTCCCTTACCAGAGCTTCCTACAGTAGATTTCGAAATACCATTATGTGACTTGATGAGGCGGGTAACTTTCAGAGAATTATTCAGCAGAGATCTGTTTAGACACTGTGACAACTCAGCACATCCAAGTTAAACTCCTGTTCTAAACCATTCTCTTCATCATCTACAGAGTCAAGAGACACTAAGCTCCTAATTTAGGCAGCTAAGTTAGGTCTTTTACACTAGGCAGTATTGATATTGCCTTATAGGATCGGTTTAGGATAAGCACAGCTATGTAGATAACCAGCAGTTATGACAGCCAATGAAAACCACAACAGTATCCACCTGGAAGTGGTCCTAGGTTCTTCTTACTGAGCTAAAGAATGCAGCTGTGTTGAAGCATTTAGTAAGCCTTGATCATTCATTACTG